CTCGTCATGACACCCAGTATTTTCTATTGAAGCAACAATACTACACACCCTACCTGTTTCTAATGTGTGACCGACACATCATGCATCCCAATTGAGGTGTCCAGGACATCGGGGGCAGAATCCGTGCACACCTGGTCAGTTTGGGGAAGGACGGCCCGTTGCAGAGCCGATCGACAAATCGACAAGCATGTCGTTGGTTTCCACCCACCCGCTCGAAATGCTACCAGGGGTTGACGGCTGAAGAGGGGTGGTTCGGTGGAGGGAAACAGGGCTAAACCAAATGGGGAGCGGGGACGTGAGCCGCAGTGGGCGGGTGGTGTGCGAAGATTGTCCCAGTAGAGGGTAGCAGTGCAAATGACAACCTTCCCACCAGGGGATCTTTGCTGTCGGAAGGCTCCTCCGAGCAACCGCCCAAGTCTGGCTCTATACAAGTAGCCGCACCAGTTAGGTACCTTACCTACCTGAGGATCAAGTGCGGCAGACGAACGCAACTGGTATTCTGAGCTCCGTACTGACAAGCGCGTCAAGTGAACTTCTGTTCGTTCAGTTTCTTGACCGAGTGCCAAGAGTTCTATCTGCGAGCCCACCCCCCAACTTGAAACTCGAAACTTTGTGGCTGATGTTGTGCACAGTTTTTTTGTTTCTCGTTACGGGCGTTTTAGTTGCCCAGGCTGCCTAACGAAAGCCCTCTTTCAACGTTTGGGCAAATGTCAGCCAAGCGCCAGCTCCAGTGATTTCGCAGAGTGCTATGTCTTCATCTATTTTTACCCAAACACCTTATCAGCGAGAAATACGGCATCGGCCAGAGTTTGCCTTGACCTCTTGAATTTAATAGATGTTGACACCAGCTAAGGTAGTAAGCCAAAGTCTTTCCAGGATGGCGACCCCCTCTACGAAGAAGCAAGGCCTGCGCTTAGGCGTCTACCTGTCGCCCTGGGGCTATGACTATGGATTTGCCTCGATGATCTTGAGTCAAAACCTCTGAATGTCATAGGCGTCCGGTTTCAAAGCGTGGAGTCTGTTGTTGTATTATCCGGCAGCAAGTGCGCAAAGCCCAGGCGTACTCAGGTGGGTTTCGAGTATCGGGATGCCGGGCACGTAAAACGGTCCGGCTTTGAAACGCCAAGTTGCGGAAAGTCTCCGAGCTCCACCACTCACTCCATATACAAGATACGATGATATCCTCCAGCACACGTCACGCGTTCCCTCACTGCGTCCCGCTACGGATGAACAACTTTTGATTCCCAACTAACAGTCCAACACCAACAGCTGAATCATGACTTCCAAATTCAAGGTGGCCGTAATTGGTGCGTCTGGCGCAACCGGCTCCTCAGTCATGCGTGCGTTGCTGGGAAGCCCTGAAACGTTTGTAAGTTGAATGCTTTTCCACACAGTGGCACACACTTGGTGGCGCTACCCCAGACGGCCCCCTCGTACGGATCGTGAGCGCTGATTTTGTGATCAGGACGTGACGGCCTTGGTACGGCCGGCGTCAGTAGACAAGCCCGAATTCGCCGAGTTTGCGGAACGCGGTGCGGTGGTGAAGCCACTTGAGCTCAGTGAGCCATCGGACGCCGTGATCCCAGCACTGACCGGTATGGACGTGGTGATCTCCTGCCTGACGCTGAGGGCGCTCCGGGAAGAGATGAATCTCGTCTATGCAGCAAGCGCAGCTCGTGTAGGACGCTATGTGCCTAGCTTCTTCGGGCCTTGTTGTCCGCCCCAAGGTGTCGCGTTCCTCAGAGAGAGGGTAAGATGTCTCATCGCAAATACGGCATCCGTCGTCTTAAGGCTTAGGTCGCGAACTTGATAACCAAGAGTGTACTGACAAGGACGTCGGGCTTAAAGAAGGAGGACATTTTGAATCGCATCAAGTGCGTCTACCTTCCATACACTGTCATCGACATTGGTTGGTGGTACCAGTTGTCCTTGCCACCCTTGCCCTCGGGAAGGATTCAGTCCAAGGCGGAGTACTGCACAACTCAGATCGTGGGTGATGGGAACACGCCTTGGGCGCTTACTGACAATCGCGACATTGGAAAATACGTGGCAAATATCATCGCCGACTCGAGAACTCTAAACAAGAGTGTCTTTGGTTACAGTGCGGTTCACACCCAAAACGCCGTCTGGGACATCCTCGAAAGAGTGTCTGGCGAATCGGTTCCTCGAGAACATGTATGTGCGAGTTTACCTTTGTGCTTCTGTTCCACAAAGCTTGAAAGTAATGGCATGGTAACCATCCGAGTGTAATAGGTGTCCAAGGAAGAGCTGCTCAAACTTATCGCAGAAGCGCAGGCCGAGATGGCGACAAGTTCTACTCCAAGTCTCGCGACGATGCTGCAACTTTCCATGTCGCAGTACAGAAATTTGTTGGGAATCAGGGGGGACAACACTCCCGAGCATGCGAGATATCTGGGCTATCTCGATGTGAGGGAGTTGTACGCTGATGTGGAACCCACGCCGTTGGAGACCTACATCACCGACGTGCTGGAGGGAAGAACAAAACCTGTCTACAAACCTGCTTGACCATGAGACGCAGCAACCAGAGCTGATCTGCCAGTCTATGTAGTAAATCGAAAGGAGTACCCTATCTTTGGTAACAAGTCAAACTCTTGCCTGGTTCTGGGGCCTCCGTCCGCCACCTAGGCCCCCAGGACTTTAAACAAGCCCCTCAGATTCGAGCTGGCGATTGAGATGAGAGTTGCCATAGTGCTGCACCCATACCCAGTATGCAAACAGGACAACTGCTGTCAAAGGCAGAAAGATGACCAAGTATAACGACCACGGTGGAATTGCCTCGATGGCCGTAAAGTCGAAGGTTGGTACTGCCATGAGCGTCTGGTTTGGTTTGGAGAGCGTCAGCGTGCAAGAGAGCACAATGGCCGCGGCATTACTTACAGTGACAAAGGTTGCCGGGAGAAATATCATCGTGAGCAGGGCAATGGCTTTCATCTGCTTTCCATCACGCAGCGCCACGCTTGTGTCTATCCTCGAGAGGCGGGCGGTTATCTGTCGGCGGCGTCAGACCAGTACAGGTAGGTTGGTAGGTACGGAGGCACGTGTGGCGCAAGGTGGATGATATACATACCACTTGAAACGCAAGAGAGGTGCCCTGGAGTGACATTTCGCACTTGTTGATTTCCATGTCGTATTTGTTGATGAGGCTCTCGACGTAATCTTCTGGGCTCTCCATGGACTCCGCGTTGCCAGCATCAAGTTTCCTGGCGTGGCCACGAAACCCAGCCAACTGGGTGCGCCATGCCGAAAGTAATGCCTTGAGATTGCACAACTGCATGTAGAGACCGATCAGATTATCAGATCCCCGCGGACCGTTTGCGTATAGAGGCTGCGACGTCCCAGGTCCTGTCGGCATGTTTTCGTAGCCGACTACAGCTTTCTGCAGGGCGTCCACCACCTTGTCCACCTGCTTAAAGCGACGCTCCTTTTCCCACTCCAAGAATGACCTGATGAGGAGAAATGTCAGGTCGTGGTCGCCGCTGTATTGCTTCAAGTTGAAAACAGTGTTCTCGGCCTCTTCGGGGCTACCGAGCGCTAAGGCAGTCTTTCGCTCGACGGATATCCACAATGCAGACTGGTCCGAGAGCGTGTGAGAAGTCCGGAGAACGTAAACTGTAGTCTATCAGTTAAAAATCATAGCGTCGGGATGCATGAATGATCTGACATGTGCCCTCCTCAGTGCGCTGCCGATTCTCGGTGATTCTAGTGATTACGGGGTTCCCGTGAATGACATGTGAAGCAAACACATGACGGACGTCGAGATTTTCAACGACGCGCGAGAAAATATCGCGGCTGATAGGGAGATTGCAGAGAAGAGGAGAGAGAGCTGAAGTACTTCGAGAGGGTTTGGGCTGGGGGAGAAACCTAAATAGACCTTGAGTTAACCTCGAACGTATTTAAGAAAGAGACCTGTTTGTGAGGAAGCGTAAGGGAGTAGTTACAGCATATTCCATTCGGTCTCGATGGTGTGAGGAAGGCTATTAAGCCAACGGTCCCAAGCTGCAAGATTGAGCCGATGTATCGGGATGACGTGCCAAGCGGGCCGTGGCCACGACCAGTTGAGTGCGATGCATGGCCGGTCCGGGTCGGCGTCAAAGCGGAAGGCATCGAAGTCCTGATCCCAGAACTTGCTCAGCAGAGCCATCTCGGGAACGTGTGTTAAGGTGTCTCAAAATGCGGCTTCTCCAATAGCGTTTGTTTAATAGCAACCACTCCTGAGAGGGGCGAAACTAGCTAGACTTTGTCCTATTTGAGTCATGGAAAATTACAATGGATCAAGTCTGTCTTTCACTGACCTAGGATTTCCGATGCGACGTAACGAAGTAGTTCTGCAACCAACAGCATAAATCCTCGAGGCTGTTCCTCGCTTGCCCGCCCGTGCCCCAAATCATGTCAAGTTTAGCAGACGCCGGCGGCCAAGTGTTAGCTGTTCATTGGATAGGGGCCTGTCAAAACGCAGTCCTGGCTTGCCAATGGCTCAATGCACATGCAGCTTGCGCCCACTGACGGCAACGGGAGGCAGCCATGATTACAATATTGACCTGCGGGACGGCATGGCTCATGCTACGTCTCACAAAAGAGTCATTGCGACCGGGGCGATCAGGCTGAGCAAATGTCAGGACTACTCCAAGTTAAAAAGCGAGCGGCTCAACCCCTAATGGCCGGATGAGCCGGAGTCATGGGCACAACAAGTATCCCCTAACATTACGATTTAACAAGTGAACTCGAGCTAATAAACAGTATTAGTTTGTTTTGTGCCCCTTTTCCGTTTTTCAGGAGCACTGGTTCTCATAACACTCCTATATCTAGGTGTGATTAAAAGTAAAGGTTGATGCACTGCGTGGGTCGGTGAGCAACCCGATCAGACTTGTAGTTTGCACCAGGTATCAACAGCAATACACTTGTTTCCCAAAACTCAGAAAAGGATAACAACCCTCTTTCGGAGCCATATTCTCTAGAAAAATGGCAAAAACGATTGCGATCTCTCCCGCCGGGAATTGAACCCGGGTCTCGAGCGATGTCTGGGCTTGTGGAGTCCGGTGACAAGCTCACATACTGACCACTATACTACGGAAGACTTGTGGATGTTGGCACCCACCGTAGCTTGCGGGTCGGGATCCGCCGAGCTACCTATGAAGGGCTAACAACTGGCACTGGTCTCCATCCAAAGAAGCTGGCCCACTAACACCAGGAGGGGAGTTGACAAGGCGCCAAGCTTGGATAAGATCCAACCTTGCGAATGGGAATTGAGGTCACTTTCATTGCTCTCGATAGACTGCTGTAAAAAGCATAGGTCGATTTGTGGATTGGACAAGGGATAAAGTCAGCAGGGCCCGGGATATCACAGATGGTTTGGGTGCACTCTGTGCCCCTGGATGCAAGGTAAGGTAAGGAGACGATGCCTCTTGAGAACCGGGTTGCTTGCCCCAGACACATTGACCTCGCGGTTGGGTTTTGAAGGAATGTAGTGTGTAGGTAGCTACCTTACACAATGTGAAAACCACATAATAAGCTTTGCAAAATGAAGGAATACTCCATCACCTCTAAACGAATGTCGCGTCCCTCAGATCAGGGCCTTTTCCGCTTCGTGCCACCCTCCATGGTAGCCCTTAACACAGCTCAATCCCTTTCTTGGCTCAGAGTTGTCATTTGTGGAAACATATGACCAACAACGACCGAATCCAACTCCATGTGTCTCACCGGACTGTAGATCATTGAGTCACAAACGCGGCGCGGTTACTTTCCAAGACGGTAGGCTTTCCAGCTCTAGGACATGCGAGAAGCCTGCCCAGCAGTGAAACAGTGACGCAAGTGCTATCCTCAGGAGTCAGCAGGCTTCCGTTGCGGGAACCTGACCTTTGGGGGTACTCGGTACTCACTCGAGAGAATAATCCATATAGTTGGTGACCGGGTCAGTTCCGGGCTGCTGAGGGCACGTATCCCTCCCAATCTGACAGCCCGAAGCCTGGAATGCCTCGTAGGGCGTGTAGGAGACCATGTCGCCGCCCAGATAGCAACCATTCTCAAAGGTGTGATAGAGCCCCATCCAGTGGCCGACCTCGTGGGCAGTGGTGTGTCCCAGGTTGTATCCGGTCTCGCTGCCCCCAGGCACGGTGGTGAACTTGATCGTACATCCGTCGAGGGTGTAGATCTCATCACTAGGCGTAACTCCTGACAGTGGAAGGTAGCAAGCGCCCAGGGACCGGTCCTCCAACTGTCTGAGGAAGTAGATGTTGAGCGTCTGGTAGGTGCCCTTGCGGAGCGCGGTTTTCATGGCCGCTTCGTTGCCGCCGTTGGCCCAGGTCGGGTTGATAGTGTAATCGATGCCCTTGTTGGCAAATTGGATTCCGTGGGGCAGAAAATCTTGGTTCAGCGTGTTTAGCTGGTCCAAAACCATGGCTTGCTATGGTTTGTGATTAGTTGCTGGAGACATGGTAGGGACTGGCATCTGGACCTATGCTGAGAAGGCCGCCGATAAGAGCGTTGCCCGTCGCCACGACGTGGAAGTAGGTGTCCACCGTGATGACTTGGCGGGTGGTGATGTTGCCTGAAGCTGCAAACGCCGCCTCCTCATCAGCGAGCTTCTGCGTCTGCTTGAGGTGTGCAGCATCGGGCCTGGGAGCACCGCACGAAAAGATGGGCTGGGGCGGTCCCTCAGGTGCAGCGAGGGCACCAGCGGCTGCAGTGAGGACAAAAGCGGCGAAGCGCATGATGGACGATACGGCAAACCTGAAGAATAGTGGTCAATAAGGAACTGTCTGGACGGGCAGGCCGAAATGTTATTGTATGCCTTTGGTTAAAGAATGGCAGGGAATGACTGCATCTTATATAGATCTTTACAATGCTCTTCCTACCCCTACGCTTCCAGAGTGTCATGACTTGTTGGTGATCCTTCGGAGGAAGCTGTGGTCAGTGTCTGCTTCCTGCAGTTGGTTCGGAAGGGAACTTCTGGTCAAGCCCGCGCTCTTCCATCATCGGCAATGGGATCATATCCACTAGCACCCTGCTTTCCTGTGAATAGAATGCACGGAGACCGGCGGGATGCTAAGTTGAATCAAGGATCCTTGATCAGATGAGATGTATGATCTTCACTAGGCTGCAACCAGGTGCCGTCAGAGTTGTCTATGATCTTGCCGCTCCCCGCGAAGGACGACTTGTTCTCGGCGGACAAGACCGGGCAAAGGGGCACCATCCTTGAGCTGGGCCACTTGAGGTCGCCTTAGGGCAAGGAGACTAGTGATGTGACGCTGTGTTGGAGGCAGCTCAACACTGACCAGTAAGAAAGCCAAAGCGTGAGTTCAGCTTGGCTGCTGTCGACGAAGGGGTGGTGTGAGTGATGAGCACCAGCTGGTGGACATGGATGGGAATCCTCGGAATTTAGATCATCGAGGTATCAAAATTTTTGGAACTCGTGCCTCTTCAAAGGAGAGCCCGGTAGGAACCTTTTGAGAAAGCAAGACCCAGAGGGACGATCATGACAAACTCTGATGACGCCCAAGGATCAGTTTTCCAGATATCCTTCGCGGAAATAGAAGCACCACGGCCAGATGCTCCCGGCTTTGCCAGCACCGGCCCCCGACAAGCTCCAAGACGATTGCGCGAACTCCCTCGACTCCGCCTCAGAGGCATACACCCTGTCCCTGTGGCCACCCTAGTTTGGTCTGCATTCGCCTTGTGAGCCGGCTGCAGGAGTTCCCTGCCAGGGAAGCGGATGCTCAGTTGACAACCTGGTGACTTGTAGGCTGGTTTTCAGCAACCCACGAACCTGCCTCTAATATGGCGATGCCGTGGAGGTTGGATAACTACCAACACCCCGTGCTCACCATTAGGGAAAGGGAATCTGGCATTGACAAGATAAGTCGTCTTCAAAGCTACATGTAACCACTTCGACTGCCTGAGGTGCATTGACGGTCACAGTGCAAAGTAATTTCTGATGGCGGAAAACAGGGTACGTGGGCATGGTAAAATCAACTCAGGGGGGATGTTTGCCAATGCAGGACATGACACATGTGAGACACTGTCTGGCGCCGACTCCATCCGCAATCCTTTGGCTGCATGTTGCTTGATCTTGGTCCCTGCGTGTTCCCTCGCATGCAGCTAGCGGCCTAGAGTCGTGCCGATGACCCGGGTCACCCAATGAATGAACGGAAGGAAAATGCCTGATATTACTCTCTTCGGTTGAGATTGGCGACAAGGTCTCAAGCGACTGAGGTTAGAATGCAAGTTCGCGTGCAAAAGTCATCACAGATTGGCCAAGAAACGAAGCGATGGAGCGAAGGAATTGCTCGTGTTGGGGGCACTCTAAATAGTGCTTACTTACCTACAGATGCGAAGGAGATTTGACTTCTGACGAAGCAGGTGGCTCAGGCTTGGAAATACCAGAGTCGAACTCGATCTTCTCGAGGATCATTCTGAGCTCGTCCATCAACACCTTCCTGAAATATCCGTCATCCCGATCCAAGTACATGATGCTTAGAAGTACATGAAACTTTATGGCATAGAGGGCATTTCTCTCATCGAACTCGACTTCGAGATCTTTAACGAAACTTGCGTCGGGGTCGGCCTCGTTGGCCTGGCGAGTGTACTCCATTGAGCAGACCGCGCCCAATTTGTACCTCTTGTTGTAACAGATGGCGAGATCAGCTAATCGCAAGAACCGTGAGCAAAATTCCCGAGTCCTCAACCTAAACAAGGTGCTTTGCAAGCAAGACGAACCTTCATTGTGGCCCCAGTAGGCACACGAGTCGAAGAGACAGAGCTCTCCGGTAGAAACTCTCGGTTTGATGTTTCCAAGCCAGAGATCGGAGTGAATGAGACACGGGGTAATGGATCTGCCGTCACTCTCTAGCGGCCTCAAATATCTGGGGATTGCTTTGTCAAAGTAAGCGGTCCTGAGCTTCGTCAGAGCTTCGTCAGGACCATTGACGCTTTCCTCCCGGTCGAACAGGCTCTCATCTGCTGAGCCCAGAGGGCTTCCCAAGAAGTCATGAATTGTTGACCGTGTTGGCCAAATGTGTGTGACATGAAAACCGAACTTTCCTCCAGGGATTGCCCATGCTAGCAAGGTGAAGCTCCAAAACAGCGGCGGGCCATTTTGTGGGCTTGGGGCGTCGTCGCCCATCTCCACATATTCGGCCATATAGAAGTGGATGTCCGGATTACTGACATACGTGCCCCATGCGACAGGCTTGGGCACACGGTCAGGGATGGCCTCGTACAAAGCTTTGTCCGCTTCAAATGCCCCTTTCATCATATCGGCTCCAATGGTCCCCGACGCCCCCTGTCAGCTGAAGTGTTAGCAATGGGTTTGCGGTACTTTAAACCCCTTAAGGAGCCCGTCAATACAATTCAGGTACCAACCTTCTTGAAGAATTTCGCAATGCTGCCATCCTCGAGTTTGACTACAATCTTAATAGTCTTGATCCATGCACTGGGACCCCCGTAGCCCACAGACAGGACCTTGCAGTGGGCCGGAAGGCCTAATTGGAGTAATGCAGCTGGTTATTCGCCACGCCTTCGACACTTCCCAGCGGTTAATGCAGACTCACTGTTGATGATGGCCTCGTCCAGCTCAAGTTCGTGGTCTGGCTCCTCCACAGGAATTCCAGATTGCCTCGGTGCGCCTATCACCATTGTGACCGGTGTGTTGGTGTTGCGCGGTGGCACAGTTCCATCTGACCAAGAACCAGACAGGAGAGACGAGAATCCAAATCACGACCGAATCGGGGCTCAGCCCGTCACTTTTTGCCCACAGATCAAGAGATGGGGTGGAGCCGCAGGAAAGGATAAGAAGAAAAGGAGTGTACTGGAAATTGGACAACTGGAACTGGACAGCAGATGGCTTCCTTATGGACTGATGGGAGGCGCAACGCAGACAGATGCAAAAGAGGGGCCAAAGGGAAGCTAATCCAATCTTGTCCATCTGCAACACGACGCTCCTCACCCTCTGGCCTGTGCCTCGGCGAGTGTCATGTTTCTGGCTCGAATCTGGCCGCCTCTGATTCGTGCCACAATCCTTGTGTTACCGGTGCGCGCTCGAATTAGACGCCCAGCCAGTTTGCCGACCCTGGTCGGAGT